TGTTATATTAAAATATACATTTTTGTTTGCAAATATATGTTAATTTAGTAATTATGCTAAATCTTACACAATCTCTTTAAAGGACAGTCCATTATGGTCATTTCTGGTTGTTGAGATTTGAAGCATCTATTGTATCATAAATAAGGATGCAGATCCTGTTTTCAACAGAATTTGGCAACACTTAGAACAATAACTTAAAAAGAAAGGAACAACTAGGAAACTTCAGGAAAATAGGTTTATATTTTTTGCATTTTGTTTTTTAATTAAACTTAATTAATTCCTTTCATATTTTTTGGCATTCTTTATCTTTAGCATAAATTTAGAAGCTTATAGAGATCAGAGTTTTGTAACAGGGACTTTGTCACTGTTTATATAACAGAAAAGTGATTGTTTTCAATAAGATTACGACACTGTCTGTTGTATTATATGAGAATATACAGTTGAACAGCCTGATCGGTGGACCTGTGAGCCTCCCATTAGCCAACTGGTATTCTTCAGCTGAATAACCGCTTTCCCTGATCTCAGTTATTTGTTGTCTTAAATTAAGTAATATTCAAATAACTTTTTAATAGAGAAACACTCAAACTAGGTTTAATGTAAATAAACTTGAATTTTATAAATGTAGATATAGCTGAAATTATTTTTTCATCTTATTTTACTTTATAATCTTTCGTAATTGAGCGTTTTACATTTCATAAGGAATAAAACTTAAGTGAACTCATGTCAACTTTAGCAGTTTTTCTTGCTTGTCTAAATGTTATTTGCCATTTGTTTATTCTTTGTGCTATTTTAGTATCAGTTTCAATTATTTCTATTCAGAATCACATCTTACAAACTTGGTTATCACTTGTTCAAAGTAATTTTGCACTGTTTCATAACATCCACCCTGTATGTAAAGTTGTTTTATTTAAAAAGTTATCTTGTTTACTGAATACATTTCATCAAAACAGCCTGTTGTTTCTTTTCTCTATGTAGTTGAAATTACAATTTTCCCTATTTCAATTAGAGAGTAAAATTATAGAACCTGAAACGTTAACTTTCCGGTCAAGTTAACCGATTTATTTTGTCTTAAATAAGTGTCGACCGGTGGTGTCATCCTGACACACAGTATACATATATATGTAAATACTGAGATTATGTAAGATTATGTAATTATCAAGTTTTTAAAATAAGTAAAAAATACCGCAATTCCGAAAGACAGTCATAGGCAAATTTTACCACAGACCTATAATCCTTCTCATTTTCTACAAATATCAACAACTAATCATGGTAAGCAATATAAAAATCCATATGGCAATAAGCCAAAATACAAACTTTCATTGACTTGACTTTTCAAAATGTCCTTTGCATGTTTTGCGGCAAATGGTATATCATGATATAACAAGAAAAGCATTGATGCAAAGCATCAAAGGGCATCCAAGCAAGAGATAGAGCAAATTACTCTATCTCAATCCATTGAGAAGTTGCAGCACATTGAAATCAGTTTAGATTAAAAAACAAAACAATGCAGAATAGTGATTTTAGGCAATTTTGAGACGTCCCCCGTTGCCACGGTAACAGGAAATTTAAAATCGAGCATGCTGGTACAGAGGCTATGGTCCAGTTAATATTTGTGCCAAGTTTCATCGGTATTGAAGCATTTTTCATAGTTTCATAGAAGTTTGAACTTGTAACGGGAGGCTTTTCAATGAAAATTAATCTATTTAAACACGTTTTCGCTGGAAATGTCTTTCATTTAGAACTCTATGCTTGTATAGATTAAGTCCAAGTGAAAGCATGATAATAAAATCAATTAAAATAAAATTATGCATCATAATAACTAGCAAGAGTCTCACTTAAACTACAACAACTCAACTCAAAGAACCCAAACAAAAATATAAGCTTATATACCCTTTGGTTTACGTTATGTGCAAAAGTGGACTGGCGCGCGACCCACTTGCGGAAACCAGTCTGAACGACACCTTGTGCGACCAGAATTCTGCGCGCCTTAACAATGTTCAAAATGGTGCACAAGTGGTTCATGTATACAGCCTGTTGTGCAATACAGACATAAGTACAAAAACACATAAATATACATGTTAAAGGGACTCCACTGAGGTTTAAAAGCCTAAAAACATAACATTTGAATTTCTTGCATAAATGAGGTGGGGCACTTTAAACAGAAATATATGCAAAGATAGTTAAGAAATATACTTTGAAATATTTTGAAAATCGTATTATTATGCCCTTTTTAGCCTAATTTGAGTAAAAAGCGTTTAAACGCTTTTCAATTTGGGTCATTTTTTTACAATTTAAATAATTATTCTGGAGAAACGAAGTGGCGCGATTGATCTAAAATTTTGCACAAAAACCTACATCAAATGGTACATTTATCTGGAAAAAATATTTTCAGTCTTATCATGTCAAAAAAACTCAATGGAGCCCCTTTAACATATGTTCAACTTATAAATTCGCAGTAAATATACAGATAATAATAATAATAATAATAATAATAATAATAATAATAATAATAATAATAATGTACACAATGCAAACATGAATTGTTGAAAAAGCTGTTGGTCCGAAGCATATTGATAAATGCTTTGTTTTTAAGTATTCTAGCCCCACTATAAAATAGAGAAAAGAAGAATCCCTAATAAATCCCTTTAAAACCCATTCAACGATGAATTTGTTTTTTTTTATTTAAAATTGAAATCTGACCTTTTGATTGACTTCTTCTGTAGTCATTCGTCGCGAAAGAAGTCATTCGAAAAAGGTAAGAATTCAATTTTTAATAAAAAAACAGTGCAAATTAGTGCAGTTTAAACTTGCAAAAAGTAAATATATATTTGTATTATTTATGCTATACAAGATTGAGACACTTACATTTGATTAACTATTGTTTAAACTTATTAACAGCAGAAAAAGTAATCTGAGAAAATCCCTTTTATATAAGCTCAACATTTCAACTCCAATGCCAATGACCAACGAAATGAGTAAAGAAATATTGGCCAGATATACCATCCTAAAAACAGTACCTCTTTTCAAATTTCACAGTATTGTAGCTATTATAAATGTTTACTGTCACTGTTTTCGAATTCGCTGTTCACAAAACAATAAACAGATTTTTTTCGGGACATTACACAATGTTAAAGAGTCTGTCTATGTTATTTATAGCTTTGAATCTCGCACATTGTACAGTCAATACTGCTTTCCGCTTCTTTGCATATTCACTTAAATTATAGAACATTGATTCTGCTTTGAATCGCACGCGAAGGGGAAAAGCCATTATATGACCTTTATACATAATAAGAAGATCTGAACAAACGGAGTTTCTTTAATACAAATTTAATTTTAGTTCTGTAAATCGAAGGGTTTAGAATGTTATAATAACGGCGTCAATGACAACAGGAAATATTAAAGCACGATAATGGGCTTCTGTCCTGTGTTTGTCGTATTCGACATTAAAATGAAGTCTATTTTTATAACTTCGATCATGAAGCAGATAACTCTGTTTACATATAAAGCATGCTAGACTACGAAAACGTCAATACATGATTGAGTGTGCCAATGAAATCAATAATCCTATGTTTAATAAGTAAAGTTAAAACGGCATAAAAATAAGTAACACAGAAAAGTGAAAATATAACAATTTACAAATATATTATTATTTGTAGTTATAAAACAATATTTTTATTTTTTTCAAATAAATTCCAAGTTCAAAATGTAAATTGGCATGGACACAATACGCTAGACTAATCTAATCACATATGGAAGTGTTAAAATGAACAAATATTTGAAATTTGAAGTAAATCCAAGAATAATAAAGAAAATTATAGAAAAAAAGGGAAAATCAAAGTTTACGGTGGAGATAATTCTGGAAGTATGGACGATAGATTTATAAACCTTGTAATATTATTATGATGTGTGATTGGAATTTTAAAGTAAATCCTGTACGAAATGGAGAAAAATAATAATTTGTAGAAAAAAATCTAAGTTCAAGGGGTTCAAAATTCTTAAAAGTCAAGCCAGAATATTGAATTTGATTTGTGAGTGATAATATAATTTGATGAAAATACCTCAAGAAATAAAGAAGTTCTAGAAAACAAACAGTTTTTTTTAATGAAAATTCTAAGTTTAAGGATAATAATTCTGATAGTATAGGTGCTAGAATTATGAACCGCGCAACATATGATGTGGGTGATGATCAGACATATATATTTTAAGTTTAAAAATAAAGAAGCAAAAAACAACATTTGGGGGGGGGGGTAAATTTAATAGTTTGGTGCTAGAACTTTGAGCCTTGACGTGAAAAATCTCCATACTGACAACTATCCATATTTTAAGTTTCATGAACATATTTTCAGTAATATTTGAGTTTTCACAAATATTGTTATATTTACATTATTTCATAGCTATTTATAGCAAATGTTTCAACATAGGAAGAAAAAAAGATGTGCATATACACCAGATTGTCAGATCGCAATTAAATTTTCTATAATATAAAATAATTTCAGTACTTTTTGCGTTATCATGAGATACAATTTTGTGGACGGACAGACAAACAGACAGACAGACGGACGGACGGACGGACGGAAAGACAAACGGGCGGAAGTTAAACCTAAAGTCCCCTCTGGTTAAACCGGTAGGTGAATAACAAGTGAGCGTGCCATTCTATACAATTTTGTCAAAATTGTTTCAGATATTGAGAGAAAGGTAAAATATCCGTTCATTTAAATAACTATTCAAATATGTATTTAATAAAAATTGCCAACCAAATTTCACTTGTTCCTAGTTCCACTTTCTAAGGTATTTCAGCACTTTCACTATGAATCAGATTTTTCCTACATTTCACAGGTGTTTGTAATCAACAATGTAATTAACTGAAGTGGTATTTATATATAAATATCTAAAGCAAAGTTTAAGCATATATACTAAAGTTGTAATCATTAAACTTGCCTAAAGCTTGTGTGAATGGGAAGACAATTTCATGGCTTTCTTAGAATCATATAAAAACTTACCATATGCTGAGAAAGTTGAATTCCTATTAGCTGATGTAACTGAACTTGTTGTGGAACTTTTATAAGACAATTCACATCTATAAGTCCTGGCATCATCACAAACTAACTTCTCTATGTTCATGTCCAATGTAAGAAACGTGTTAGCAGGTGTTGTAGAATCCCATAATCCTCCAGCAACATAATCTTTAGTAGCTGCTACAGCTGCAATATCTGAACTTAAAGAAGGGGTTTCATTTATTCCTGCTTCCATTATTATTAAAGTCTGCCAATCGTTTTGTTCTGATCCTGAAAGCGTTGCTGATCTAAGTTTCCGTATCGATATGAGGTAAATATTATTTACATCTGTTTCAGAGACATCACATGTCATAGTTAATGTTCCTGTGCTGCCTAGTAAAACTCTCTCCCTGCTTATAGTGAAATCCACACCAGAAACTGTAAATGAGACAATGAGAATAAACATTGTATTTTTGAGTAACTTTCCAAATCGTTCATCAAACATTGTACGAGGTTACCACGTTTCAAGTTCTGAGAAAATAAATAGTGATATATTGTAAAAGGGACATTTGATTACATTGATAAATATGTATCAGAGATAAAAGGATAACACATTTATTTAGAATGAGAAATATTATTCTAAATGGTTATGAAAAAACATAGTTTAGAATTACAACAAAAATAGCGTGGCCCTAAAAATGGTCCATGTATACCACTGCAAATAATTATGGCTAAATCAGTATAAAATGTTAATTGTTATACGATTGCAAAACTACTTACCTTTAAAGAAAGTTAAAGCTATAAATAAAACAAAGCTTTTAAAAACGTCCGACATTTTTCTTTGATTTAAATAATCTTCCTACTTCTCTTTGTAAATCAAACTGTTTATAAAAAATAAAAAATACTGTACAATAAATTTTCAATACAACAGGAAGTATTATTTAAAATCTATTTAAACTTTTATCCCACTGGTGTCATAAATCTTTTTAAAAAAAAGAAACTCTTAAGTGTTTATTTTAAATCATACATATTCAATATTCAATGAATCTTCAAAAATAAATCATATTTAATTATTTTTGATTGTACGGTTTGACTGGTTTAGATGTGAATTTATCTCAAGAACTATCATATTATGTATATCATTTCTTCTACATGCCGGGACTGGGTGATGAGTTCGAACGAAGAGAGGTATTTGAGGTCGAAATGTAACTGTATGTAGTTATATAATAATCCAGTTAGTTGCCACATTTTAAAAAAAAACAAACTTTTTAGCAAAACGTTCCAATTTGTAACGTAAGTTAATGGTCCAACTATAAAGCTTGTTTAATTATCAGCATTTTCTACCGCCTTCATCAATACCAGAATACAGACATTAAAACATATTAGAAATATTTTGTAATTATTCAGATAACATTTAATAGATTATAAATTATACGACCTAAAATAAAAGATGAATTTTAGTGTCGACAAGTATAAGTTTATCTAATATTGTTTGTATATGATAGACAGCAAATAACATTGTGACTATATTGTAGATGAGTGATTAGTCAATACTTGATATTGACAACATGAAAGACAAGATAGATTATCAACCGGATACATTTAGCACGAACACAGTTATATATGTTTGATTAAAGCAAAATAATCATTATAAAAAGGTATTTCAAAATAAATACATCTTCTTTAGCATAATAAATAAACTTTAAATTTTATTTGATATAAACTTTAAACAATGGAACGAAAACACATTTATAGAAATAATTGATCTCAACAAGGATTATAATTGCCATTTATATTATTGACTTTTAAATTACATAGATAATTATGTAATAGCTATTTCTACAGTTGACTCTACAAAGATAAATAGAAAGACGCGTGAACAGATAAACAAGAGGGTCCTTTTATCGCTCACCTGATTATGAAGAAACAATCCAAATTTCAAGGATGTTTAAAAATTTTTATATTTGGGCTGTGTGACCTAGTTTTTGATCCCTAATGACCCATATTGAAATCATCATAACAACCTTTCTGACCAATTTCTAGGAAAGTTGGACTGAAAGAGTAGCCCCTAGTGTGTTTACAAGGATTTTTTCACATCCGGGATGTGTGACGTACGTTTTGACCACATATGACAAAACGTACAAACAAGGGGTGAAACACGTACACAAATTTTTTTCTTAATAACGAAGTATATGTGACATTTATATAAATACCAGTTGGTAGTCATCCAAAGGTATCAAATCAGTAAGGCATGCCCATTAATGCCCCTCGGATCAGATTTAAAACAACTAGAATAAGTGACGTAATCTGATGAATATTATAACTGTTACATTTGCATAATTTTGAGTTATAATATTACGGCCTAGTGCCGCCTGTATACACCGTATGCATCCTGTTGATAAATTATATTACGGCCATCGGCGCTGATACAAATGTTTTTTTTTATAAAGTAAGTTCCATGACATCAAAAGCATTTAACTTTTAATTAGCTAACATTGGAAGAGGTCTGTATACAATAATTTCCCATCTGGTAAGAGGAGAAATTCTTCCTTGACGCTTATTGCTTAAATGAAAGGTTCTATATTTGGGCTATGTGACCTAGATTTTGACCACAGATGAACAATATTTAAATTTGGGCTAGAAATTATTAAAAAACCTTTCTGACACATATCCAGAATATTTGGACTGGAATAGTAGCCTCTAGAGTGTAAAATAGATTTTCCATATTTTGACTTTGTGACCTAATTTTTTATGTAGATGACCCATATTCAAACCTGATCTGGAAATCATCATAACAACCATTCTTAACTATTTCCAGGATATTTTGGCCTTTCTGACAAATTTCCAGGATGTTTTTGGTTTAAAACGGTAACTTCTATAGTGTTAAAACGGGTTTTCCATAATTGTGCTATGTGACTTAATTTATTGACCCATAGTGACCCATATCCAAACTTAACCTAGAATTCATCATAACACTCTCTCTGACAAATGTGTAGGATATTTGGCCTGGAACAGTAGCCCCTAGAGAGTTTACAATGTTTTTCACTATTTAGGCTGCGTGACCTAGTTTTTGACTCCAGGTGACCAATATTCAAATTAGATCTAGAAATCATTAAAAGAACATGTCTGACCAATTTCCAGGAAATTAAAATCAAAACAATAGCCAGTAGAGTTTTAACAAGATTTTTCAATTTTTAGCTCCCGTGACCTAGTGTTTCAGCTGAGATGCATCGCCGTTAGTCGAAATATGATTCCATTGTTTTGAAATAAGATGTCTTCGTATCATAAGGTTATGATCTAGGTATGTGGTTCATAATATATTTTTTTTTAAAAAGTATTGAAGTGGATTCGGACATTACAGGTAAAGAGATATTGATCGATCGTACATAGTTTCCTTGCATTTCTTGCAACTGATTGATAAATATCTTCCTTGAAATTACGTCATGTGTACCTTTTATATCAATTATTCAGTGATCTATCTGCTTCAGAAGGAAATCATACGGATCTCAAAGCTGCAAACCATATACCAAAAATAATCCACTTTGTGAAAAATGTATTACAATTCTTAGAAAAATAATTATAAGTACAACTAAATGTTATTTGCAATGAATGACTGATTTTGTAGTATTTATAACCATATTTTGACTGCATTTCTGACAGAGAAAGGGGATATTTTTGTACATTTTGACCTATATTTGGCAACTTATTTTGATTGAAAAAGCCGTGTGCAATTTCTAAATTACTTTCGTTGTTCGCGTGACACGATTTTTCTAAATAATACAGTTTCAAACTTTTCATGAAAATTAGCATGAATCTTTAGGCATGTTGTTTTCATATATGTACACATATGTATACACAAATGTATATGTATTTCTTCGAATTCATAACATACATTATTATCTAACAAGTCTCGATGACAAGATACTAGACACATCACGAGTTGTTAGTTAGAGCCTTGCTGAATCATTAATTTTTTATTCAGTTTTTTATCTGAATTCGTTTTTATATTTTCCAAACTTTTACCACTATGTATTTTTGTCCATCACACACATACTTCAAACATTGAACTTAATAATATAACATACATATATGTATTTATCAAAGCTCAGAAAAGAAGAAAAAAGACCCAGAAGTTAAACAATGTATTCATTCATGTTACATTTACCCATAAAGAGAAATTAAAATCTATTAAAAGAAATGGTTTATCGAGGATTCAAACTTGCAACAATGCGGATACAGTTTAAGTCATGCTTATAACTAGGCCATTCGGCCATTACATGTGCGCAGTTAAGGATCAGAAACTATACATTTGATAAAAAATCCTAAATAATGTAAAATCGTAATAATGTACTGAAACTCAACAAAGCTAATCAGTTTCAGGTCAAGTTTTGCCCAAACAGTAATGGTGAAAATGTATTTTACGGCACACTTGTGTTTACATTTGAATAGCTAAATGATGTAGGGGTTTCAGGATATTTAGCTTATTACTCACTGTCTGGTACGTGGAAACGGTAAGAATTTAGCGTTGTGTTTCCATCCAGGATGGAGGAAACACAAAAACAGCATTGCACGAGGTGTTAGCCGGTCTGATAAAAGTTTTGCGGCTGTGTATGAGTTAAATAGAGATCAGTATTGTTCTTACAAATGTTTGATTAATTCTTTATGTCACATCAACATTTTTAGACATTTTGACCTAAATTTGTAACTTTAATTACTATAAAGATTTGATACGGGAATTGGGACTGCTCATTAAATAGATAAAAGGCAAGATGGGGTGCGAGATATGTACCTTATAAGACTAGGCAAAATGTTAAGTTTGGACCGTTATATTGGTACATCAAGTGGTGAATATGCGAAAGTGCATCGGGTTATATTCTAGAAAGATGTGGTGTGAAATGAACTTCGTTTACCAAATGTATGTGTACATTGGCAGTTAGAAACTTAAAATGATTGATTGACTTTACAAAGATTTGTAATTGCCATTTTGACACTAATAATGGAAGAAAGAACCGTGTTGTACATATGTAAAATACAAATATAACATTTTTCAAATTTTAATCTATATATTTAGTAGAAAATCTGTATATATGTAAGTGAGAGTTCTCTTCCTGAAAGCTGATTAAAGAAAACGGTTCATTTGAAAATGTTTCCTGTAAAACATTGAAGTTTGTCCGGGACATAACTCTGAAACTATAACAAATAACAACTTTTGAAGGTGGATAAATCTCAATAGGTAAAAATGCAGTACAAAAGGTACAATAACTATGTCTTGCCTAATTTTGGAGTTATTGCCCTTTGTTCATTTTTACAATTCGAACTTTATCTGAGGCCATGAAAGGTATCTACAAGAAAACCTTGTAGGTAGATAGATCTCATTAGGAAGATGTGCAGTGTAAAAGAACCATAATTCTGCCTTGCTTTATTTTGGATTTATTGTCGTTTGTTAATTTTTACACTTTGAACTTGATATTAGTAGCTTCCGTCGGAACTTCTGAATGAATTAGGTGCCGACTAGAGAAAATGAAAAGTTATTACGAAGAATCACCCTTTAAAGCCGAATTATCATTTGGATAAGGTAATAATTGACTGCCAGTCATACCTACACAACTATAGTTAAACTTGGTTCGCTTGAACTCGGATTGCTTGAATAAGTTCCTTCGCTGGAAGTAATTACCTGGTCCCGGCAAATTCCCAATATAATATTTGATATATGTACAAATAAACCTCAAAATAATAGACAATTAAAGATTGTGTCAAATACATTTATAACTAGTGCATATAGATAGAAATGAAAGATAATTAAAAAAAATCCTTTTAAGGTAAAAGATGACCAACACATTTGATTTTCCCTGTTACATCTATAAAACTTTAGTTAAAATTTGTTCGCTCGAACTCAGATTACTCGAATAACTTTCCTTCGTTCAAAAGTAATCGTCTGGTCCCAGCAAAATCACTATATAATATATTAAGTGTATTTGTGAATAAACCAGTTATAGATTGTGTACAAAAACATTTATAACTGGTACATATATATGGTAACCGAAATGAACCCAAGGCAGGCGAGATAGATAAATAGTTTTACCGACCAAGCTTTAGATCTGCATACGTGTGAGATGCTCTTGCTTCTCGTTCAAGACCCTCATACTGGTGATTGGCTGTAATTACATAGATATGAATAAATGAAATTTAAAAAATGTCATTTGTATAATGAAGTGAATGATATATTCAAAATATTAGAATAAATTAATTTTTCCATTTACCAACTATGTATGTAAAAATTCCTTATCAAAATTATTTTAATTAAACATCATTTGACAACAGTGTTTACTTCATAATCAAGAACTTCATAATTGTAGTTCATTACCTGTTTGGTACTACGCTGGAATTTGCTAAAAGCTGAAGCATAATGTAAAATAACATAAATATTGTTGGACATTTGTTTATGAAAAAGTGACCTGGCAAAAATGCAATTGTTAATTTGTTACACATACAAAATATACATTACACGAGGTTAAATGTTTTATATAAATCAAAATGGATATAGTCCATTTACAAATGATGCATGAATATAAACTATATTGCAGACTGACCTTCAAAAACAAATAACATTGATCGAGATTTATACGATCACACAAAAGAATTCCGATTTGCCATACATTTATGCATAAGATATAACAATAATTAAAAATTTATGCAAAACATTTTCCAACATCAACTGCTGGCCAATCATCATTGTAACAGTCAATCTTTTTGACAAAATATAGTCAATTCAGTCAACTTGACAATGAAAATATGAGGCATAATTAATGTCACTTAAATAAAAAAAAATAAAACGATTAAATCGACTAAAACATTGAACTTTACATATTTGAATATATCAATAAAATTACTTAATACAGTCAATTTTTACGAGTATGTGATATAATAAGCACGTATGACTTAATTAAAATGTGTTAGATTTTAAAGTTTGCAATTCATCTCATATGGAAGGTTGAAACTCTGGTTTATGAACCTCCTCCAGTAAATATACAATTTTAATTGTTGATTAATTGATAAAAAAACAATTAAGAATAAAAAATACTGGAAGACTGAACAAGCTTACTATACTCTGAATGAAAACAGCTATTTTATTATTATATCTACTAAGTTTTTAATTAAGCGTAAGTAAAATCTAAATAAAACAACATAATATTAAAACCTAAGCAACTTTAGCTTGATAATTAGCGAAATGTGACGTCTCTTATTTGTCTTTTCATTATCATTTTATAATTGAAATGACAATAAACTTGTTTGTGTTTATCTATATATAACTTTCTGTCGCTTTGATGCCGAGATATTAATATCCCCAGCCAACAGTTGTCGTGATCAATTGATACGCATCAATACGACAGATAGGTCGTAAAAACCCCTAAAGATATCGCTCAGACCGATATTGTTTCTTTAAGATACATATTAATGTCAAACTCCATGTGGCATGATAATAGTCCAGTAAAATATACAGAATTATGCCACAATCCATGTGACATGATATCAGTAAATAGACCCGTAATTAAATATAAAAAAATGCCAAAATTTCATGTGACATGATACCAATGCTGGACCAGTAAAACATAAAAGAATAATGCCAACAATTAATGTGACATGATATCAGTAATATAGCAGATATATATACAGAATTATTCAAAAATTCATGTGACAAGATATAAATAATGGACTAAGTAGAATACACAGATTTATGCCAAAATCCATGTGACTTTATGTCAATAATGCACCAGCATGAATATACAGGGAAAATTATGGCCACAATCCACGTGACATGGTATCGAAATAATGTTCCAGTAAAAGATGCATAATTATGTCACGAATTTTATTTGACATGATATCAACAATTGGTTTCAGTAAAATATAAAGAATTACTGGCTCAATCCATGTAACACGAAATCAATAATTTTGGGATCAGTAAAATGTACAAATTATTGCCACAATCCATGTGACATGGTCCAGTTGCTGGACCCAGTTAAAATATAGAGAATTATGCCACAATCCATAAACAATGATATCAATAATGGACAAGTAAAAACTATAGATTTAATGCCAAAATCCACGTGACATTGATATCCATTATCGACGACTGAAATATACAGGTAAGTGCAAAAAAAGATATGCTATTAAATAGAAATAACGATCAATTAATATATTAGAAAGAAAATTGTAATACCGTCAAGGGAATCATAGGTTATCTTGATTTCAGTATATGTTCTATTGTGAAGTTGTTTTTAGGTATTCCTAAAAATAAATTATAAAAATATTTTGTGATGTGGTCTTGCAAATACGACTGGGTTTAATATTATTCATCTTTTTTCATTATAAAACTAATAATTATTATTTTGTAACAATTTGATTATTTGAGAAATATTTCTGTAGTTCATTTTCAGTGGTAAACGCGTCAGACTAGCAATCTAAGCAATCTCAGTGACAACCTGTTGTTTCCTTGAACAAGAAACTTTACATTCATTGCTAAGTACTGGTTGGTTCCAGAAACAGATTCGAGAGTGTTTTAATTCTTTTCAATTTTAAATTCCCTTTGGTTTGGAGGTTTCCGGGGGCCAGTGGTTTAAAAGGGAATGACTTCAAACCCCGTTGGGCCCCCATCGCTGTAGGTCCAAAATTTCGAAAGCGTTTTCATGGTCCAGCTAGCTGATGTGCCGAATTTTCATGTACTAGGGTTGACAATGCTATGATATGAATATATTTCAAGTACTAAATGAAAAGTAAAAGTAAATTTCAAGTAAGATTCGAAAATCATCTTTATGATACTTTTATTTTTTTGCTAAGATTCTTAGGCCAGAGGATAAAACCGAATATCATTTATAAATAAAGCCTTTAATATTGACTTTAGCAATTAACTTTATTGTTTATATTATCTCTTAGTTTAAACATTATTTACTTCATCTCCATACCGCATTTATAGTTTTAACATACATTTTACACATGTATATATAAAAACAATGGTACTTGTACAAAAGGGTATATATCCGTTGTTACTTACAAATAAGACTCACATTTTTGCTCACTGTTTTTTCTTTCTTATTTTTGTTAACGTTGTACTGTATTTGTAATTTGGATATTATGTTTTTCTCTTCATTTTGGGGGGAATAAAAAAAATTTATTTTTATTTTTATATTTCTTTTCCTATTTTTCCCGTTTTTTTAAAAAAGGGGTCAAACAAACCCAGACTGGGAAAGGGTTTTAATTGTACCGTTTAAAGTGTTCTTTAGGCCCTCTGCTCTTCTCTATTTTACAAAGTAAAGATGTATGATATGTAATGCCTAATTAATCTACCGCTTTGTTTCTGATGTTATGAAATTGGCAGACCGTAAGACGGACGCATGTTTTATTTCCAAAAACGTGTTAAAAAAGATTAGGAAAGAAACGAGCAAACCAAATCGCACACAACGTCTCAGGAAATTCCCGAAGCTTAACATGCCTGCCTAATAAAAAAGAAAAACTTAGTGCTTTGCGGCTTTGTTGTATGCATCTTTTGTTATACCTATGAAATAAGATTTAATGCATAACACTCGTTTATTCATGGCACAGTTATATCTTTATTAACCAACTTACAGCTTTTTAAGGACATTTTGACTTTTCATTCATGGATTTACTTCTTAAAGTAAAATAAAAAAAACACAAGTTTTGAAAATTAAGTACAAATTAAGAGCATTATTTTGTCTCTAAATTAATGAACGTGATTTTTATAGGTTATCCAATGGGTTACACTTACAATATACACTATTCTATTCCGTTCATCTTCAAACAATAGCAAAGTATTATAGAACAAATAATTTTCTCAATCACTATTGACGACAATTATAATTCTAACATTTTCCAAATTACATGTAGATATTGTTGAACACAAAATAAAAATATGGAGGTGAAGTGTTTCAATCAAATTTCTTAAAACGAGGGTGAACTGTCCGAGTGGTGAAGTGTCTGCAAAAAATTGGCCTTGTGTGAACTGACTGAGGGGTGAACAGCCTGTAAATCGTTCGAAATCGTGATGACTTCCTTCTCGATATTGACTTTCCAGAGTTTAAAAATAGAAACAGAATCAAAATTATTAAAGCTCGCCGATAATTGGCTGTTTGAAAGGTATTAAGAATTTACTCCGTATTTGGTGATGGTCAGATCTAAATGCAGAACGTTATTTACAGCTGATTTAAATCAGATTGGGTGAATATATGGCCATTTAAACTGGAGATACGAAAAATTTCTTCTTAATAAAGCCTGGTTATCAAATTGATAAGGTAACAGATGACAACACATTTGATTTTCCCTGTCATATCTACACAACTACAACTAGACTCCGTTTGGTCGAACTAGGATTGCTCGAATAACTTCATTTGCTCGGAGTAATCTCCTGAAAAATCAAATCCCTTTATAATGTTCATTGTGTGTACGAATAAATCTAAAAATTAAAGACAATTAAAGATTGTGTCCAAAATTTAAATCTAGAGCATATATGGCAAGGTGAGTAGTCCAAACAGCCGAGGTAGATCTTTCAAATTTTATTGGTTGTTATTTAGACCTGCGTAAGTGTGAGATGTCCCTCCTCCTCCATGTTTAAGACTCTCATACTGTGATTGGCTGAAATCAGTGATATGAAAAATCAAAATAAGAATACTTTCGTGACAACTATGTATGTAAATTCCTTATCTTAAACAGTACAAAAACAATATTGACAACATAATTTTCTTCAGTTTAAACTTAATTGATAGATCCCTACTCTAATCTTTCATTTGAATAACATTTAGATTTAACCACAAACTTTGACATTGCTTTGTTAAAAAAACTTTGTGGTGAAAATTCTTGTTTTTTTTCGTAATTTTGTGATTAAAAAATTTGACAAGTCGGGGGATATAGGGGATTTATTTAGTTCATTACCTGTCTGGTACTGTGCTGGAATTTGCTGAAGCAGCTGAAGCATAATATAAAATTACATAAATATTGGACATTTGTTTATGAAATAAGTGACATGGGAAAATGCAATGTTAATTTGTATTCGTTAAATATATATACACGAGTAAATAAAGGTTTTCATATGGTAAATGTTGAAATAAATTAAAATGGTTTTACTCCATTGACAGTCCATTCTTTTTAAATATATAGGCAATGCAGCTCACCTTGACAATTAAAATATGAGCATAATATCACTTTAAAGATTAAATCAAATATATCAGCAATATTTTTTTCCAATACAAACTAATTTTACTTACAATGAAACGTATATTTTTTATTATTTCTTCTGAGTTTCAAGTAATTGAAAGCAAAATGCGAGATAAAACAACTAACTATGAAATCCGGTAACTTAAACTTGAAAAGTAGCGAAAGGTGATGTCTCTTATTTGTCCTTCCGTTATAATGTTAGAATTGAAATGACATCGAACCGGTCTGTGCTCATCGATGAATTACTTTCTGTTGTTTTGATGCGGAGATATAAAGAACTCAAGCCTATAGTCTTCATGAGCCATTACTATGCATCAAACAGATTGGTAATACAAACCTAAACATATCGCTCTGATTTAATATTCCGATTATTGTCAAACTCCATAAAACAAAGTTAGTTATGGAATAGTAAACTGTACAGTTTAAAGCCAAAGACTATATAACGATCATATTTATAGTTGGCAGTGTAAATTAAAAAAAACCAAATATGTTACCATTTAGAGAATCATAAGCCATCCTGCTTTCAGTTTCTGTTCTATTTTGAAATTGTTCGTAGGTATTTCTAAAAAATATTATTTTTCATTATTATCTATATAAATAATAATAAGATTACGTGATGTGGTCTTGCAAATAACAGTTAAAAATCTGGAAACAAAGTGGGAATAAGCGCACAAACGCAACAGTCATTTTGAGGTTCTAGTTTATTATCATAAAACTGACAATTTAATAATAGTAATGATACAATAACTCTTCAATAGCCATATGGAAAAGTCAGACAACCATCTCTCACTCCCCTCGGAAGCATTAATCACAACAAAATAACATAAGAATTGCAGACTTGGTTTGATTGAGTCTGTACATGAGAGATAATGAATAAGTGCAACATCTCTCACGACCCCTAGCACCGGCTTGAGCGGTACTCAATTCTCAACACTTAATAGTGCTGGCATCAATGATCCCGAAGGACCAGAAAATATAACAACACTGAAGTGAAGTACGGGGCAACTTTTTACAGCTGCCATACGGCAATTGACACCTGCTGTTGTGAAGTATAAAAATCTGGAAACAAAGTGATCCCTCGAAAGCATTTATTACAACAAAATTACATAAGAATTACAGACTCGGTTTGATTGAGCCTGTACATGAGGGATAATGTTTGATATTCATCTTTCAGCTGCTTTTTATTCCTCTCATTATTAAGAATTATTAATTAGCAATAATTTAAGTGTGAACTATTCCTGAAATCTATCTTTATTATCTTTAATCATCATGTATATTTAATCATTAAGTATATCTAATCATTATGTATATTTTAGTTGGAAAGGAAATAGATGAAACCAATGTTATCAATATATAAAATAAAAAAAAACACTATTTGACGGTACTTACGGTGAAAGTGACGAACCATTTAATTCTGTGCCGCGTGACACTGATGTTGGCTGATGTTGATTTTGATTCTTCAGACCTATTTCATAAAATAAGATATTAGGTATGTTAAAGTTTTCAAAATACCGAGTTATTTTATGAGTATCAAGAACATAGATTTCGGTGTCATAAGTCTATCAGTTTTCACACTACTCCTATATATATTTTTACTCTATTTTTCAAAGTAAATTTAGAAAATCGTAAACATGACGACATTTAACATTTTAATTGAAACACGGACTTGAATTACAAGGTTTTATTCTGTAAAAAAGGTATGCGGTATGAAGGGCAGAGTTTTTGATCCTTGTTATTGAAAGTACCTGTTACTGTCCGTTTTCTATTTAAAACAACCCATGTAAAAACCGCACCGATTAGAACACCAACAATGAGTGAGGCAATGACAATCGCGGCGATAGCTCCTGCTGTTATACTTATCTCGTTTCCATCTGCAATAACAATAGTGTTGATAGTGCTTGCTCTTAACAACATATCTCTATACAAGGACTTTATTTTAAGACATACCACATACGTGGTACGCCGACCGTTCATGATTCAGAAAACAAACATGTATTTAAAAAGATCTGTGACTAAACAAAATATAACTAATTTTCATGCAAATTTAATTTTTGATTTCACCATATTTAAGGTGAAGATACTTGTCTTGTCAAGGGAAGTCATCTCCTTTGTGATGTTGTTTGTAGAGGAATCTGTGAACGTTTCATTTAAATACTAGTATCGAAATCACTTTCATAATAAAAACAACATCATTTTAAGTAGCAGGTTTTCCACAAATAACATGTAAACATATGAGGTCATACTATTTGCTGAGATGTATATCATTTTCAGAAAGCCCCTGAAAGAATAGGTCGTAGCCAAGTCCCATATTTCTCCATGATTTTTTTAGTTACCTGATAAGGGAGAGATAAAAAAGGGAAAAATACGGGAAACAGCACTTTCTATATAGACTCTTTCATTTACGACCGGATTCAAGTTCTCGCCATTGGATGACGTCATAAGGGGGTACGGTGGACATTGCCGAGACGATTAAGTACATAAATAGAGGAATATAAAGATCTTATTCCTTTCTCTGGTAAGATTTGCAGATTGAAATTGTCAAAATGTTGTGTAATTGAATAACATATTACATAAAAAGGATGCATTGGTCAAATAAATAAAATGTTTACTAAAATAAAGTAAACGATTTGTTTTAATACTAGACCAAATAGCTGGTTAACTGATCATGAAAACCATTTTCGTTTGATTCTAAATAATGAAAATTGTCGCACCGTGTTTTACCAGGCAGTTACATCGTACTAATTGCAGAGATGTAGATAGTATATGTCTCTGCTAATATACAGTACCCAAGAGATATTTTGAGTTTCAAAAAATGTTAGTATTCTGTAGTTTTAAAAAACGGCCGCATAATAATTAATTGCAGGATTCTGGTTGATAAAAAAATATTTTGATTTAAGCATAACTAAGACAAAGAAAAACAATAATATAAATCTATGTAATTTCAAAAACATTTAGGCATAAAAAGTAAAAATCCCGTTGTATGGCCCCTAGGATGATCCATCCAAATTAGGATCATAAATATTTTGATAACTAACAAACGTGATGTAATATGATGTAATTTTATAACTATTTAATATGCACACTGGTGAGTTATGATATCACAGCCAACTGCCGCTAGTATATACAACATATGCACCCTGTTAATTAATATGTTACGGCCCAAGGGCGCTTTTATACACACCAATTAACTTAAAAGGTCTTTATTTTCATAGTCATAAGAATTCAATAGATTTGATATATCAAAATTATCTTATCTGCCTCTGTTACGAATCTTACGTTATACATGTCAACATTGACAAATTTATTTTCATGTTTGTCACAAATACGCCGGAATTTTCTAAATGACAGAAAATCATACAGAAAACTAGAAAATGACCATTATATTGGGTAATTTCACACTGTGTATGGGTGTTCATAAAATATTAAAATTTGATTTAGTAACTAGTTTTTTTCTCTGGCATTAGAGAAAATCTAATAGATGTATTCACTTTGTAATTCCGCTGTTTTACCTCGTAGCAAGAATTTATCTTAATCTTTGTTTTTATGTTTTTTTTTTATATTTTACTTTCTTGATATTAAATTTATATATGCATAAGTCAATTTTTTCAGGTTATAATCGTAATTGAACGGTCAGTATTAACGCATTCAACTTTTAATAAGCTATCATTCTATGCGGTTTGTATATTACATCACATCCGGTAAGGAAAATCTTCCGTGATGCTTATCGCTTAAATAAAAGGGTCTATAGATGTGAAAAGCGATGGACTTGTCTTAAAGGTGAATAAAACATTTTTCAAAAACTGTTACTCATAAACATACGTGTTATTCATTTTAATACCCAGAACAAATTCTTAACTGGTCTGAATTTTAAATCTTACTATAACAAACGAACACACATTTACTTAAACTGTTATATACACTGATGAAGTTATAAAATTACTGTTGTGAACATATTGATATTTACCAATTATAAACAATAGGGCAATAATGGCCCTGAATCGCTCATCAGAAACAACTGGTTTTCCGTGTTAGAAATATTTTTTTCAAATGATCTTTCCGAAAGGCAAGTCCAACTCAACTTGCGCCTCTAGTTTTATAGTTTCACAATGTTGATTTTTCTCCATAATAAATCTGACCATCATTTCATTGTTCATTGCATTAAATATTTTGTCCTAATATTTTGGAAAGGCTTTGTTAAAAATAATGTTGCAAGTGTGTTCCTTTGAGACTATGTAGAATATATCACCACACGAGCACGGTAAATTTTGATGGGACAATTTTTGTGAATGAATACATGCAAATGTCACATGCAAAATATGTAAGGTGTTGACGTTTGAAAATTATAGTTTAGGAAAAAAACGCTTTTTTATATGGTAACATAACTTACGTCAACAAGAAATGAAAATAGGTCAAACATAATCAAAAATATCAAAAATAGGCCAGCTGATGTTAGTTCAGTATCAGAAATTACACTTTTGATCCAAATTACAAGTCTGTATGTCAAAAAAAAGGTCAGATGATGTCAAAAATATCAAATTTAGGTCAGCTGATATCACGATTTACTTCAGCATTAGACATTTAACCCTCGGTCCAAATGTCATGTCTGTACATCAGAAAGTAAAATAAGTAGGTCAAATAATATCAAAAATATCAAAATTAGGTAAGTTGATATCAAAATTCAATTTGGCATCAAAAATTACACATCAGGTCCACATTTGAAGTCTGTACGTCAAAGGGTATGTCAAGCGATATTAAAAATAGGTCAGCTACTATCAAAATTCGATTCGGCATCAGAAAAAAACCCTGTTCTGGTCCAAATTCAAAATATGTATGTCAAAAAAACAAGAAAGTATGTGAAATTGTGTCAATAATATAAAGAGGTGAGCTTATATCAAAATTTAATTTGGCATCAGAAATTACATCCCTGGTCTGTACATAAAAACAGAAGGTCAAGTGATATCAAAACTATCAAAAGTAGGCCAGTTGTTATTAAAATTCAATTAGGATCAGAAATTACAACCCTTGTCCAAATTTCAAATCTATACATCAAGAAGTGAGAAACTAAGTCAAACGATATCATAAATATCAAAAGTAGGTTTGCTAATATCAAAATTCAATTCGGCATCAGAGATAACATTCCTGGTCAAAATTTCAAGCCTGTACATCAAAAAACAAGTAAATGAAATGTTTCAAAAATATCAATAACAACTAACTGATACCAAAGTTCAATAACGAATAAGAAATAGATATAAGGTTCAAAAGTGTGTCCCAAAATTGATAGAATATGCTTTTTCTAAGTTTGAATCCAATTCAACAAAAAATGAAAAAAAAAAAACAACATTTTTAAACTAAATTAAATAAAAAATGAGCATACAAACTCATCTTTGTTAGTAAGATACAGGAAACAAATGTAATCTTTTTTAGACCTAATTCTATTTCCAGGAAAAAATCCTGACATACAACTGACCCAGCAGAAAGATTTAATCGTATGATGTAATGGGCTTCAAGTTATTAACACAAACAGAATCTGATTTTATCTTATTGTTACCTAGCTAAACAAGATTGCATTTGTGAAAAAATGCGATGTCACTACATCACTAAATAGTACCAGAAATATATGTTTTTTCTATACAATTGAACTTTGCCATAGTGCAGTAATGTCTAGTGAGATTTAGGGTCAATGTCATATTTGAGTTTGTCAAATGAATGACAATGTGCAGATATGTTTACTGTTCAGATACAAAGCACATAGTGTAAATAATTGATTCAGTATAAAGTATTCTTACTTGACAAAAAAATAACTTTTTTACAAGGTAAACGATAACATAAACAAAAGCAAATACAAATTTACTTGTAGAAAATGAGGGATAACAATATTTTTCCCTAACTCAGACGACTCCCAGAAATAATCTTAATTTTAGGCAACATTTGAACACAATATCATACATAAATAATCTGTTTTTACACTTTACTTTTTCTGTTAGATGTAAGCTTGGAAATGTTAATATGATCGACCAAGTACATATAAAAGAGCATTGAACAAGTTTTTACCTGTTGTACTATCTGTATCTCCATAACTAGGGTTATCTGAAATAAAAAAGTAAGACAAAAATCAATAACTTACAAGAAAATAAAAGCAAGGTTATAAGTTTCAAATAAACAATTCATTTAATTCTGTGCATACTTATGCTTTTGTTTATGTTATCGTTTGCCTTGTTACAATTCTAGAGGTTTTAAAAAAGAGGTCAATGATGTGTTAATATATCTACGTTGATCCCTGGAGATTCCGTTCAACTTTCCTTTTTTTATCGAAAATTGCTTATAAATTTGTAAGTAGGTTTTCAATTAGTCTTCATTACATTATAAGTGACGGACCGTTGAAAGATTCATAGGAAGGTTTTTATTCTCTCTCTAGTTTACATCCTTGTAGGCTCAAATGATGTTTCCAATCTGGTCTTTAAATCCTTTTGCTCATGAATATGTATTATATTTCACGTTGTAGAGGGCTTAAAAGTGTCCTTACGATACTTGTTGACAACTAAATTAGGATGAAACAGATTTGCCTATGTGGTGCAAAATTCAAGAATATGATCTACTTAGGATAAGGTTCAGAGGTGACTTCTTTAAGAGGCAAACAAAGTCCTTTTTCAAACTGTCTTTAAAAATACAGATATATAAATCTGCCATACAATCATTAAAAGTTTATTTTATGTTCATGTATGTTTACATATACATATAGTTATGCTTAATATATTTTAAGAATAGCTGACTATAGAAAGTCAAAGATGTCATAAATTGTACAAACATGATAGTTATTTGTAGGTTGATTAATAACAAGTAAAAGTTAAAACGACTTTCTTTTGATTAGCTCTGAAAATATTTCTTACGTGTCATGTTATAATATTTCCTGTTATACACAAACAAATGCTCAATGTTATAGAAAACTTACTGACGTCAGTATAAAATCTCGGATTGTTTTCAGAGATATAAGTGTTCCCCGGATACGGATCTCCGAAAACTAAAACGTAACATTCAAAAGCCAGATTGTTATCTCTATTAGCATCAGCTGCTGTTGTGTTGTATCTGATTGAAGCTTCTCGTGTATATCCACACTGGTTGTCACTATTAGCTGTGCCTTCATCCACAGAACCTTGTGGTGGTTGATAGCCAATAAAGTCATCATTTTAGGAAGTTTCTGATGTTCTATGCCATCGAATAAATGTTCCCGGTAAGCTTCCTATATTAGCAGTACATGTACATCCACATTAGCCATGTAAGATGGTGACATTCCTTCTACTATAAAACCATTCTTCCTTACAACTAATGATGTCACTTGAGGTTTTACTAGAATGTCAAAGCAAAAAAAAACAACATAATTGAAATATTTTCATAAAAGTAACAGTAAAATTAAATTGCTTTTTCCTTTTTCATATTTAAATGATCAATTCTCAAAAGAGTGATACCATAGAATGTTTCTGTTAACACACGGATATTGGACATTATGAGAATTGAATATTCCAGAGGAAAATATTGTTCTGTTATCTTAAGCACTGCTTTATGCGTTCAACAATGATTTTGTATGCCATTTACTTTCTGACTAAAACTGTCACTGTAAAACTTAAATGGAAGAAAACATCAAATGGATACCATATCATAAAACAGCAAAATATCAAACTGTAATTTTCAGTCACTTCCAGATTTTTTCAAGTCAGTTGTATTGATATATTGTATTACATAGTAAAGGTACAATATGATTCTTCTTTTTCCTTTTCTGCAAGCCATTTTTAATTATTGAAATTATTGTTATTTATTTTTATCTAACCACTATTCAAACAAATTCTTATGTGAAAGATCTTCCAGGCATTCTTAAAATAAAACGTACCATAAGCTGAGAAAGTGGCTTTCCTTTTAACATCAGTACTTGTTTATTTGTGGAGCTTTTATATGTCAATTCACATCTATAATACCTGGCATCATCACAAACTAACTTCTCCATGCTCATAGACAATGTAAGAACTGTGTTAGCTGGTGTTGTAGAATCCCATGATCCTCCAGCAACATAATCTTTAGTATTTGATACTACATCACCACCTAATGTAGGAGTTTCATTTATTCCTGCTTCCATTAATGCTAATGTCTGCCAATCATTAGGATCTGATCCAGAAAGCGTGGTTGATTTGAGTCTTCTTATCTGTATAAGGTAAATATCTGTAACATCTGTTTCAGTGATATCGCATGTCATAGTTAATGTTCCTGTGCTGCCAAGTAAAACTCTCTCCCTGCTAAAAGTAAACTCCACACCAGAAACTGTAAATGTAATAATGGGTATAAACATTGTATTTTTCCAAATCGTTCACCAAACATGGTGCGAGGTTACTACGTTTCAAGTTCTGAGAAAATAAATCTTGATATTTTGTAAAGGGTACTTTTGTTTGCATTAAAAAATTTTATCAAAATTTTAAAAGAAAAACATTTTTTCAAGAATGGAAATATCTTTTCAAAAAATGTTTATAAAAATATATTTTTAGAACAAAAGGTCTCTATACAACAAAAACAGCGTGACCATAAAAATGGTCAATGTATACCACTGCAAATAATTAGTGCTAAATCAGTATAAAATGTTAATTGTAATACGATTACAAAACTACATACCTTCAAAGAAAGTTAAAGCTGTAAATAAAACAAAACTTTTAAAAACGTCCGACATTTTTCTTTGATTTAAATAATCTTCCTTCTTCTCTTTGTAAATCAAACTGTTTATATCCAAAATATAAATACATGTACTAATAAATATTCATATAGCTAACAGGAAGTAATGTTTGTGAAATATTTAAATTAGGACGAGCTTTTAATAGCCTATGTACAATCTATTTAATACATTTATCACCACTAGGAAGTACATGAAATCTGTTGTTGAAAGAAACTCTAAGTGCTTATTTTAAATCATACATATTCAATATTCAATGAATCTTCAAAAAATAAATCATAATGAGATTATTTTTTATTGTACAGTTTGACTGGTTTAGATGTGAATTTATGTCAAAAACTATTACATTATGGATATCATTTCTTTTACATATTAAAAGTGTTTGCCATGAGATACATACGGGTGTAATTAAATCAGTATTAAGGTACATTGTGTTTATATATGTTCTTACATTTGTATTTTTTTCGTTTGATTGGGTAATATTTTTTTTCAAACTTTAACATTTTAAAGTACATTTATTTATTTATTTATTATGGGATATATATTATTTCAAACAATGAATTCATAAAATATCAAAAAAAATTATATTACAGCAGCATGTATTTGTAGTTATGTACTAAAATAAACTTGAACAAGTGTCATTCTATAAAAAGATAATCAAAAACTCGGTTACAATACACGTTACATGACCCACTGATAAGAGACAACTCTAAATTTGTATCAATAAGGCTGAATCTCATCAGTCTTTATCACAATAACGAGGTGTTAAAAAGCATGTGACGCCGACTGTCACTAATTCAAGACATGTCGATCCGTATCTTTCGTTGTTTTTTGTGTTCGGCCGAAAGGTGTGATTTTCACTTTATTTCTGCCGAGGGGATCAGATATCATGTTCGAAATTTCGAGCGATCGGTTTTCGAGCGATCCCAGATAAAATGATATATATATTGAATGTAGAAAAAAACCCACACGTCAAAATTTTAAAGAGCGGACAAAACACCACACATGAATTTTATAGGTCGAACAAATCCCCACTTTTTCTAATTATTTGTTACAATACAATTCATATAACTTTGATCATGCAAGTTTTTGTAAGACTAAATTTTTAAGTTTGATATAGGTACTTTAATTATTTTAACATCCTTCCTTTGATCATGATGATTAATTTTATCTTATATTTTATTTCAATTAACAATACAATATGATTGAATAATAACAGACTTTACAAATATTACAAACTGTTAAACAAAACGCAAAGGGTAAACATTCAAATTTATAAACTGTTAAATAGATATCAAAGGGTAAATATTCATTAAATTAAAAAGTGTCAAAAATGTCGGTTATTTTATTGTCAATCAAAGGTCTATCCAAATTAGTAATAGAAAGTGTGGGGTTATGTCAACTGCATAAAATGATAAGTGTAGGGTTTTGTTCACCCTATAAAATTCAGGTATGGGGTTTTGTCTACTCTTTCAAATTTTGATTAAAGGTGTTTTTTTTGTGTTAGGTTTTTACATGTGGGGTTTTGTCAGTCTTCCATATATATTTGAATAAAGGGAGGTAATAGAGGTCGACATTTAACTGTTGTAGTTATATGACAATGCAGTTAGTTGAAACATTTTATATTTCATTTTTAAAACTTTTTCAACAAAACGTACAAATTGGTAATGTAACTTAAATATTTCCACTTTAAAGCTTGTTTAATTATCATTATAATTTTCTACCCCAATCAACAATTAAGACATTATAACATATTAGAATTTTTTTTTGTAATTATTCAGATAACATTTGAATGATCATGAAATATACAACATAAAAATAAAAGATAAAATTTAGTGTCGACAAGTATAAGTTTATCTAATATTGTTTGTATATGATAGACAGCAAATAACATTGTGATTATATTGTGGATAAGTTATTAAGTAAATACTTGATATTGACATCATGAAATACAAGATATATTATAAACCGGATACATTTAGCACAAACACAGTTATAAATTATAGGTTTTGTTAAGCAAAATAATCATTATAAAAAGGTATCTCAAAATAGATTCATTTTCTTTTGCATAATAAATAAACTTTAAATTTAATTTGATATAAGCTTAAAATAATGGAACAAAAACACATTTATAGAAATAATTGATCTTAACAAGCATTATAATTGCCATTCATATAATTGACTTTTAAATTACATAGACAATTATGTATAGCAATTTCTACAGTTGACTCTACAAAGATAAATAGAAAGACGCGTGAACAGATAAACAAGAGGGCCCTTTTATCGCTCACCTGATTATGAAGGATCAATCCAAATTTCCAGGATGTTTGAACTATATCTATATTTTGGCTGTGTGACCTAGTTGTTGATCCCCGGTGACCCATATTAAAATCATCATAACAACCTTTCTGACCAATTTCTAGGACAGTTGGACTGAAAGAGTAGCCCCTAGTGTGTTTACAAGGTTTTTTTCATATCCGGGATGTGTGACGTACATTTTGACCACAGATGACAAAACGTACAAACAAGGGGTGAAACACGTACACAGAAAGTTTTCTTAATTAGGAAGTATAATTATATATGTGACATTTATATGAATACAAGTTGGCAGTCATCCAAAGATATCAAATCAGTAAGGCATGGCCAATAATGCCCCTAGGATGATCCTTGACAAATTCGGATCATAATTAAAACAACTAGAATAAGTGACGTAATCTGATGAATGTTATAACTGTTACATTTGCATAATTGTGAGGCCTAGTGCCGCTTGTATACACCGTATACATCATGTTGATTAATTATATTACGGCCCTCGTCGCTGATACAAAGGTTGTCTTTTGTATAAAGTAAGTTCCGTGACGTCAAAAGACTCTCATTTAACTTTTAATTAGCTAACATTGGAAGTGGTCTGTATACAATAATTTCTCATCTGGTAAGAGGAGAAATTCTTCCTTGACGCTTATTGCTTAAATGAAAGGTTCTATAACTGGGCTATGTGACCTAGTTTTTGACCACAAATGAACAAAATTTAAATTTAACCTAGAAATTATTAAAAAACCTTTCTGACACATTTCCAGGATATTTGGACTGGAATAGTAGCCTATTGAGTATTAACTAGATTTTCAATATTTTGACTGTGTGACCTAAGTTTTGAATGTAGATGACCCATATTGAAACCTGATCTGGAAATCATCATAACAACCATTCAATTTCCAGGATATTTTGACCTTTCTCACCAATTTCTTGGTTTTTTGGTTCAAAACAGTAAACCCTATAGTAATTAAACGCGTTTTCCATGTTTGTGCTATGTGACCTAGTTTTTGACCCATAATGACCCATATCCGAACTCTACCTAGAATTCATTATAACAATCTCTCTGACAGATGTGTAGGATATTTGGCCTTGAACAGTAGCCCCTATAGTGTTTACAAGGTTTTTCAATATTTAGGCTGTGTGACCTTGTTTTTGACCCCAGGTACCACATATTCAAATTTGATCTAGAAATCATTAAAACAACAATTCTGACCAATTTCCAGGATATTATGATGAATACAATAGCCATTAGAGTGTTGACAAGATTTTTTATTTTTTTAGCTCCCGTGACCTAGTTTTTCAGCTGAGATGATCCATGTTCGAATCATCCGAGCAATAATTTTTAATGCCTGTGTTTCTATGTTTCTTTACATTTAACACACATTTGCCAAAAATATATGCTCAAGTTTTAAACAATGATACGATGTACGCAATTATCAAAAGCACACACTTTTAGATCATAGTTACTTAGGCTATGTACTAAGTACATTATTTTTAAATAAGTAATATATTTACTCTTCTGTTCACATAAATATATTGTTTTTAGTTAGTAACGTTTGCTTGTCAGTTATAACACAAGTTATAATATTTTTGTCACATCTCAGCGGCCGATCAATCTTACCGTATTTTTTTTTGATAACTTAGTACCAGAAGTTTCCAAATTCTCCGCAATTGATGGACTACTAAGCTCACATTATTTCCGAATCAGCACTAAAATACAAATGACTATAAGACTCGATGTGATGTAAGAGATCAATTTGAATGGCTTGATGATGCAACAGTTTCAGGTTATTTAGCTTATTATTTATTGTCTGGTATATGAAACGGTGCGAATTGTCCATTGTGTTTGCATTCAAGATGGAGGAACCATAAACAACATTGGACGAGGTAATAGCCGTGGCTGATATAAGTTTCGCAGCTCTGTATGAGTGAAATAGAATCTGTACTGTTTTCAACCGTATTTAATTACGTCTTTATGTCACACCAGCATTTTCGGACATTTTGACTGAACTTTTAAAATAACGATTTGATATGGATTTTGAACTCTCAAAAACAAATATGGACTAGATGGGGTGCATTATGGATTTGATATGAATCATTTAGAAATGAAAACGAGATAAAATTGTTAAGATTGGAACTAATAATGAGTTCTATTAGTACATCACATGTTGCAAATGCGAACGGGCATCGGTGTTATTCTATAAGGACTAGGTGTGAAATGAACTTGTATTTCAATGTATGTGTGACTGTCTTTTAGAAACATGAAATGATTGATTGACCTTATAAAATGTTGTAATTGCCGATTGTAACAATAAGATTGAAAGGATCGTGCAGTTCATATGTAAATTACAAATAACACATTTTAAAATTTTGATTTATATCTTTTAGAAACAATGGATGTATAAAAGTGAGAGTTCTCTTCCTTGAAGCAAATGTATCAACATATTAATGAAAATGGGTCAGTTGAAAATATGCCCTTTAAAACATTTTCTTTTTCACATTTCATAATCAGGTCTTTTTTTCAATAAACAATAAATAATATCCAAAGCCGTATTTCTTGTGTATTTTCAACGATAATAAATAATGTCAAATTTGTTAGCTTCCGTCGGCATGATATTGGCAATTTGAAATTGCACAAGAGAAATTAAAAAATAATTACGAAGAATCACTCTTTCAAGCTATCCTATCTAATGGATTAGGTAATAGATGACGACACAATAGATTCTCCAAGTTACAGTTTAACTTCCTTCGCTCGACATAATCGCCTGGTCCCTGGAAAATCCCCTTGTAATATTTATCATATGTACGTCAAAGAAAGGTAATGATTGTATCAATAAAACATTTACAACTGGTACATACTCGTATGTGTCCCTTGAACTGGAAAATGAAAAATAATAAGAATCACCAATTAAAACTAACTTATTTAACGGAATAGATGACGACACAAATAGTTTTCCATTTCATATTAACACAACTACAATTAAACTTCGTCCGCCCGAACTCGGATTGCCCGAATAACTTCATTTGCTCAAAGTCATCGCTTGGTCACGGCAGAATCCACATTTAATATTGTTTGTATTAATATTATGAATAGACCTCACTATCATATAGATAGTTCTAGTTTGTGCGAAAAAACATTTATAACTGGTGCATATATGGAAAGCTGATAGGAGCCCTAACAATCGAGATAGATCTTTCAAATCTGCCAATAAGTTTTATCGGTCTTGATTTAGACCTGCGTAAGTGTGAGATGTTCCTCCTCTCTGTTTAAGACTCTCATATTGTGATTCGCTGAAATAAGAAATATAAAAAAGAGAATAAATAACTGGAACACGTCAGTGTACTAATAAGCGAGAGGTTATTATAGCATTATTATATTAAAAATTAAAAAGTTAAGATCAAATAATTTCATGATATCTATGTATGTAAATTCCTTTACAATTTAAACTTCATGATTTTAGTTCATTACCTGTGTGGTACTCCGCTTGAATTTGCTGAAGCTGAAGCAGGGTATAAAATAACATAAATATTGTTGAAAATAAATGATAAGGGAAAACGCAATGTTTATTTGTAAACATTACAAACCATACACAAGCAAAATTTATATAGGCTTTCGTATGGTAGATTTTGAAATAAATCAGAATGATTTTAGTCCATTGATGCATGAATATGTTTATATTGCTAAATGATCTTCAAAAACAAATTACAATGAATGAAACCGAAAACTGATTTACCATTTAAACTTATGCATATATGATAACAATAATGAATAGTTTTTGCAAACATTTTCCAATATCAGCTGTTAGTCAATCTTCATTGTTCAGCTTGACAACTTTACAATATAAATATGAGCATAATGTCACTTTGAATAAAATTATTTACATTCCACCGATTAAAAATAAAACTTTACACACTATAATGCATTAGAGGAATACATTAGTATTAGTTAGTAAATAAAGTAAAAGTATACGAGTATAACCACACATGACATTTTTCAAAATGTTTTATATTTAAAACATTGCAAATAACTTCATATGGGAGGTTGAAGACGGATTTATTAGGCTCCTTTAGCAATAAACAAGTTCCAATTTATGATTGATTTATTGATATAAAACAATACTGGAAGACTCAACAAACTTACTAAACTTAAAATGAAGCAGTTATTTCCTTATCATTTTATTAAGAAAAACTAAGTAAGCGAATGTAAAATGCGGTATAAAGTAGCCTGATTTGAAAACAGACAACCTTAACTTGAAAGGTAGCGAAAGTTGATGTCCCTGATTTTTGTATTTTCTTATGGCAGATCAGTAAATACAATGCTGACATTCAATCTCTGGCACAGAGATTTCACGACAGGCCTAACAACAAGTAGTTCTCAAAACAGCTTGAAACTTGTGATGTTAAATAAAGAAATATTTTTATATTGTTACAAGTATCCAACAAATTACAACGTATTCAAAGTTTCAAAGTAGCGTTGGCTTATAAAATTGTCGATAAATGCACAATCACAAATTACGCGGATGAATATCAATTTAATCAATGAAAATGCTATTTTTAGCGATGTCGATTACCGAATACTTCAGAGCGTAGTACACAAATAAATCTGACTGTCGAGTAGTGGAATATATACATGTCGGACTGTTTTGGCGAGAAGATTTTCGCTAAATCATTTACATCAGTGTTAAACAACAGGTTTATCGTGAACAAAATACCTCGAAATTAATTAGGATTACAAACCCGAAATGGAAATTCAATTTAGAATTATGTGTTTTATGCAAGCTTTCTTCATATAACTTCCTGTGGTGCAGGGGTAACGCGCTCGTTTAGGGTGTGAGAGGTCTGGACTTTAAATCCCAGTTGAGGCAACTATTCTTTTTTAAGTGTCTTTTTAAGGAAGTAGCCACGATATGCAAGGATAAAGTATAGCTGTCATAAAAATGAACATAGATGATTTTTGATCCAACTCTAGTCATGCAAAAATTCAGTATGTATCAAACTCATACTGTTATAGTAAAAAATCTTAATGCAGTCGCTGCATTTCAGTGCCCTATAAGTTGAATTTTAGTATATAAAAATAAACTTATTCAGGAAAATACAAACGGATATACGGTACGATTTAGATTGCAAAGGTCAGAAAATACCACAGAGCTTGCAGCCCTTTGATTCCTTCCGTAATCATGTTAGAATTGAAATGACATCGATCTGGTCTTGTGTTCATGGATTAAAAACCTCCTGTCGTTTCGATACGGAAATGTTAAGACATCAAGCCTACTGTCTTCGTGATCAAATACTACGCATCAAAACAACAGGTAATACAAACCTAAAGATACCGCTCAGACCGATATTGTTTCTTTAATATTCAGGTTAATGTCTAAATCTATTTGGCACTGTTTCGATAATGAATCAGTAAACTATATAAATAAATAAATAAATGCCAAATATATGTGACATGATATCAATAATGAACAATTAAAATATGAAAAAATGATCATCAAGGAAGAGCGGCGTTCAATGAACGCAACCCCCACATGACCCAAAAACACAATACCACCGACAAGTAGCCCAGCAAGACACTTACCAAAGCAAGACAGGGCACAAGACAAAATACGGACAGTTTGATTACTTTATTAAGTAAAATGTACAGATAAATGAAAAAAAAACTTGCCATAAAATAGCAATAACGATCTGTTAAATAGTTTGCAATGCAAATTAGAAACAAAAGTGTTATACCGTCTAGGGAATCATAAATCATTCTGCTTTCAGTATCTGTTCTATTTTGAAGTTGTTCGTAGGTATTTCTAGAAAAATATATATTAAGATAAAAAGATTTTATGATGTGGTCTTGGAAATAAGTTTTAGTTTTATAATAATCTTTTTTCCTTTATTTTTTCACACTTATGAGAACAATTAATATATAATTATTATTCATGTGTGAAATTTTCATGTTATTCATCATTATTATTTTAATCATTCAGTATATTTTATCATTTAGTATATTTAATAGTAAGTGATGAAAACCATTGAACAAAACCAATATTATGTTTTTTAAGCAGTATAAAAATGAAAATTAATGGCTACTTACAGTGAGAGTGACGAAACATTTATATCTATTTCTCGTGACACTGATGTTGGCTGGTGTTGATTATTTCGGCCTATTTCATAAATACACGGTATTTTACAAGTTTTAAATACGGAACTGTTTCACGAGTATCAAAATCAATCACATATTTAAGTGTCACAAGCTTATAAATTTATCGAACATTTACTTCAAATCACGTTTTTTTTCTATACATTTTAACATTTGTTTTTAAGGTAAATTAAGAAAATCATAAAATGACATTAAACTCGTTAATTAAACGTACCTGTCACAGCCCGTTTTCTTTTTAAAACAGCCAATATAACCGCACCAACAATTAGTGAGCCAATGACAATCCCGGCGATAACTCCTGCTGTTATACTTATCCCGTTTCCATCTGCAATAACAATAGCTTCACATAAACCTTGATCGTACTTGTCCTTAACAACATATCTCTCTAAAAGGACTTCATTCGCAGACAATTGATGAGAAAGGTTGTTTTTATATATTTATACTCTCACTCATTTACACAAAAGATACCTAAAGAATATAAAGCTGCACCTAATGACATGTTTTTATATCATTTATAAATGGTAAAATTATTTTGTTTTCGGGAATTTATTATTTATTATCAGAACAGTTTTAACATATAATTTACATATGACAAGCATGAAAACTGTACGTAAATTCTGGAACAAAATACATGCCTCTATTTTAAGTAAGAAATTAATTGTGAAGTAATGATTTCATGCATGCGTCATAAGAAAGTAATATAAGCAACTTATTTCTTTCATACCGATTTTCTTTTGTATTTTTCTTCAAAATTTAAACAATAATTTTGTAAACTTTAGGTATCAGAGATATAGTTTTATACATTTCAATGTCGATTCAATAACTTGTATTTCATATATGCTCAAATAACATAAGTAACATATTACCACATCAAAGGACAAATCAATGATTCAGAACACACATGTTCTAGTTTTTAAAAGATATGTGACTAAAAATATAAAACGAGTTTCCATGTAGATTTAATTTTTGACTTCACCATAGATATTTGTCTTGTCAAGGGGAGTCTTCTTTGTTGTTATGTTGGTTGTAGATGAATCTGTAATCTGTAATCGTATCATTTTAATATCAAAATCCCGTTCATAATAAAAACATCATTTTAAGTAGCAAGTTGTCCACACATAACATGTGAACATATGTCGATTGAGGATATACTATCTGTTGAGATGTATATCACTGTCAGAAAGCCCTTGAAAGAATAGGTCGTAGCCAAGTCCCATATTTCTCCATGCATTTTCTTTAGCTACCCGATACTTGATAAGGGAGAGATAAAAATTGGGGTCACAAGGCTCACAGAAATAATTGTATAGATGCGAAAAGAGATGGAACTTTTTTAAAGATGAATATAACTTTTCTCACAAACTGTTATTCGGAAACCTACTTACCAAGAACAAATACTGAAATGGTCTTAAATTTAAATCTTACAACAACAAAAAAAAAACAAAAAAAACGAGCACGCATTTTCTCAAATTCTTATCTACCACTGTTGTTGGAGTTACTGTGTACATATTAATATGTACCAAAATTAAAGAAAAATAAAAGAGCTGACTTTTATCAAAAATAAAAACACAAAACCAAAAATACCGGTCATTATCCAGTTATTCTGAATTATAGTATTCATTTTTTCATGTGCATATTTATTCGATATCTTACTACTTAAAAGCCTATCATAACAACACATATAGCGTTTCACTGATACAATTCTTTGTGGATACTACTTTGTCTACTATTTGCCTGGCGAATATTCCACTCCGGCGTGAACACATTATTATTTTGCAGTTTTGTCACCGGATGATAGGCAGCATGTTTATATTCACTATTCATCCAAAGGATGTTTTAGACGCAGAAAGCTGTATATGTTATAAGAACTGAATCTTAGCTATACATTGTCATTCAGGGCATCGTCTACCTACGCAACTTGGGAAAATGGGAAGAATCGAAAAGGTATAACTCTGATTGGCCTTTAGAAATTGACGTTAGAAAAATGAGGGGTGAAATATCTTTTTCCCCAACCCTCACGAATCCCAAAAATGATCTCAATTTGAAGCAACTTTATAAACAAAATATCATACATAAAGGTGTAAGCGTGTAAAGTAAATATGCTCAACCAATCTACACAGAAAAGAGTTTTTACCTGTTGTACTCATAACACTGTCGGTCACACCATTACTAGGGTTATCTGCAATAAAAAAGAAAGACAAAACTCAATTACTTACATTCAGGGCAGATATAATGAGTTTTAAACAAATACCTTATTTCTTTTGTGCATTCTCGTATTTCCTAAATGATATCATTTGCCTTGTAATAATTCTAGGGGTTGTTAAATAAAGAGATTCATGGTGGATTTATATATCTGCTGCTTTGATCCCTCGAAACGCGGTTCAACTTTCCATTTTGTATCAAAACTGGCATATAAATTCTTGAGTAGGTATTAAAAATAGTCTTGATTACATATTAAATGACGGACCTCTAATAGATTCATCGGCAGATAGTTGTTTTTCTCTATTTTACATCCTTGTAGGATAAAAAAGAATACAATGTATATAAAAGGATGTTTCCTATCTTGTCTTTTAATCCTTTTGTTCATTGATAACCGTCAGGGATATGTGTTATATTTCATGTTATAGAGGGCCTAAAAAGTGTCCATGAGAATCTTTGTTGAATGTAAAAAATATCCACAGATTTAATCTATTTTACACTGCAGTGATTTCTTGAAAGGGCAAACCAGGTCCTTGAACTGTCTTTAAAATACAGATATTAAACTCCCACATACAATTGTAAAGTTTTTGTTACGTTCATGTATGTTTACATATTGAGTTTATGTTAAAAAAATATTTTCAGAATAGCCGACTATGTAATCTTTTATACACAAACAAATGCTCAATGTAATAGATAACTTACTGACATCAGTGTAGAACCTCGGGTTGTTTTCAGAGGTATAAGAGTTCCCCGGATAAGGATCTCCACTAACTGTAACGTAACATTCAAATGCCAGATTGTTATCCCTATTAGCATCAGCCGCTGTTACGTTGTATCTGATTGAAGCTACTCGTTTATATCCACACTGATTGTCACTGATTGCAGTACCCTCATCATATGTTCCTTGTGGTGGTTGATAGCCAATAAAGTCATTGGCGTGTGAAGTTGCAGATGTTCTATGCCATCGAATAATAGTTCCTGGTAAGCTTCCTATATTACCAGTACAAGTAAGTTCCAACTCATCTCCTACCTCAGCAGTGGCCATGTCAGATGATGACATTCCTTCTACTATAAAACCATTCTTCCTTGTTATTAATGATGTCACTTGAGGTTTTACTGTAATGTTACATGACATATTACAATTTTTGAAAAGCAAATTGTAGTTAGGCCTTTAGCTTATATACAGCATTTGTACAACACATTACAAATGACATGCAATCATGATGCCTTTTTAAGTTTTATATTTTTTTGTCAGGAACTAACACGGCTGCACTTTCATCCCCTTATAAATGCCCATGTTGGATTTGAAAAATGACATAGATCGCAAACCGTAATGCAATTAGATTTCTGATATATTCATTGTTTAACACTCATCTTGTAAATATTTACCTCATTCATAATTACCAGAAGCGCGGGCTTTTTTATGTTAAACAGAAAATATTTAGATATAAAAAATCAAGCCTTAATTAGAATCCTTCTTATGTAAGTCGATGAGACTTTCAAATCTTATATTTTCAAAATTTATTTCAAACGGTCCAATTAAAATTAAGTTTGAAAAATTTTAATCATCCCACTTTTAGAGCTAACTTCCAGAGTAATTTTGAAGGCTAACAGTGTTAAGAAATTGCAGTGTCAAAATCCATAAACGAGAATGGCTAATTTGACTATGAAACCTTTTAGAGACAAGGAACAGATACATTTCATAACTATGAATGAAAAGCAGGCATTCGGTCAAATTCTAGGTGAACTGATTCTGCATGGTGCACATGTATAAAAAAATCACTGGTTGCTTTGGTTAAGAAATGGAAATAACTATCTGCATAGAAAGTATTTTGCTGCTATCGAAATGATTGGTTGCTTAGGAAAGTCAATGGTTGTTATGGAATTAATTAGATTGCCAGGAAAGTCAAAGGTTGCTATAGAAGTCACTTGGTACTTCGAAAGTCAGTGGTTGCTATGGAATGCATTGGTTGTTATGGAAGTCAGTGGCTATGTAAGTCAGTGATTTTTATGAAAATCAAGCAATTGCAAGATATAAAATCTTACCAAGCGCATAATTGCTTAACCGCGCCAACGTATCTGCTTACAACTAGTTAACGGGCGTCTTTATAATTCAAGTCAATATTTACAAAATATAACGTTGCGACTTTTGAAAGTTACAGCATGATAAACATTGCAAATACTTTTAAGTATGTTTAGATATTGTTTCGTTGTACAAGACATGTATTTTTCACCTAGTGCCATATAATTTAATAAGCCTGTGATAAAATTTTATCTTTTGTTGACATTTTATTTAAAAAAAAAACAAACAAACAAGAAAACGCTCAAACTACATTGCGTGGGATATCAGCTTTAATGCATTAATACACGTGCCAGATTTAATAACTCTGTATAATGTTATCAATTTTTACTCACCATATATCACTTTTCAAATAAAACAAAGGCCAACAAGAAAGGACATCTGAAACTGCATGAACAAGTGCTATCTCTTATTATTTATTGGCCATACTTAATATAAAAAATAATTGTGTAAGGCAAAAATGATGCGTTGAACTAAAATTTGCAAATTACTTATTTATTATACATTTACACGCATTTTTGTCACATTAAAGTACGCTATACAACATGAATCAAGCGTGAAATCTTGCAATAAGAAAATGAGCCATATTTTAAGACATTCAGAATTATCTGATAGTTTTTTATCTTCAATTTTCATATGTGTTTTATGTTTAATATATGAAATTAGGTACTTACCTTGACGCGGAAAGCCCTTATGATTTAAAACAAGTACACAATTTTAAATATATAAACCAAATCTGTCTTGGACTTTGTAAATAATAAGTAAATGCACGTTTTTTGTACCGTTAATTAGATACGAATGAATTGGTGGTGTTAACCTATCAACGAAATATTCCGAGTGTTTCCGAATATCTTTCCGCCATAATTGTTACTCTCTAATCGGATTTGTTTTTACGTTATTTAAACCTGATGTTTTATTAAAAAAAATGGATATTTAAAAGTAACTTTTCACAAAAATCATCGTTACTTCATTTCTTATAAATGATTATCGTAATAATTCATTGAATTCAACATCATACTTCGAAAGGAAATATAATTTAGGGCAAAATCTACCAACAGTCTAAATTCTACAGGCACTTTTCTTACATATAGCGTCCGGAAATCTAATTATAGCTCAAACATAGAACCAGTCCAATATTTTTAAATGGCCCTACTAACTAAAGATTTTTCTCAAACATGTTAGAATTAGATATTTTTAATGATATTATTGTAATTTTAATTTAACTTTTACACGTCATACATGTCATCTAAGAGCGCTACATACTTTCTGCGTATATATAAGCATACTTGCTAAGATACACTTTCTCTTTAAATGATCACTGTAACTGAGGCGCCACTGACACAAGACATCATACGATAAATATTCAAAAAATTACATTGGTCCTTTTCATATCGTTTTTGAAAGCATACATTTAGTTGTTTGAATTTCTGCTCAAATTTGTATGAGTTGAACGTGAAATGTATATCATTCGAAACCTATCATATCGTATACCCGAACCGGACATACGAAAAGGAGGTCCCAGTTGCGATAAATGCAATCGTCAATGAATAACGCAGACGCAATCGTTAATATAGAAAGTCAGCCTAAACTGGCTTCATCTTAATATCGTAAGGGGTCGAGAAGTCAAAGGGTCTAAATGTCTTACTTGCGCTTCTTCGATGCCTTCTATTGTCCTGTTGGTGAACGTCGTTTTCTATTTGTCTTGTCGATCTTTGTTCTCATTTTATTCTGAAAACGTTGACTTGCTTTGTTGGTTTTTATTGTGACAAATGAGAATAAAGATCAACAAATTGTCAGAATAAAAAATCAACAAGTTGTCAGAATAAAGATCAACAAGTTGTCAGAATAAAGATCAACAAGTTGTCAGAATAAAGATTAACAAGTACTCAGACATCTGGACCAAAACCTTCCGGTTTTTATCGGACCGAGACAAAATGTGTCTGTCATATCCGTCGGCTATCACAAAGTATGCAGTCTCCTTCCTGGTAACTAGACACATTCATGCTAAGTGCCATTACATTTAAACTTACTACCTATTTAGTATTGCTCAAAATAATTAAGTTCAATCTAAAATGATTTAAGTAACTGATAAGCATCATTTTCTTATTATGATCAGTGTTTGTGCCAAATTTCACCACAGACATGTCATTCGAAATTACAAAATATTCATCAAATGTTTTAATTTCTGTGTTGAAAAATAAACCATTGTATAAAAAACATTGTATAAATGGCTTTAACTCTCGGGATGGATTTTGATGAAACTTGCTGATTCTGGTCATTTCCCTATTATAGATTTATAATTATGTTCATTTAAGAATACTCATTCATTAAGAATACAAACTTTGAATATGTATGCGTCTGTAATTAAATTAAATAACCTTGCCATTTGCAATGAAAGTGGTATTTTTGAGAAGTGTTTTTGTAGATAATAAATTTTAATATTTTAAATCACATTTAAATGACCTAGCATAATCACAAATTAAATGAAATAACCTTACCATATGCTGTGAAAGTGCTATTTTTGGAAACCTCTTTGTTAGCTTGTGAATTTGAATAGTATGATAAATCACATTTAAATGTCCTGGCATCATCACAAACTAACTTTTCCATGTTCATAGACAATGTAAGTTCTGTGTTAGCAGGTGTTGTAGAATCCCATGATCCTCCAGCAACATAATCTTTGTCACCTGGTGTAATAGCTGAATCTAATGTAGGGTTGTCATTCGTGGATATTTTCATAAATGCTAACCTTTGCCAATCATCATCATTATTTCTAGACAGTGTGGAAGATCTTAATTGTTTTATTTGGATGTTGTATATAGTTTCAACATCTGTTTCAGTGATATCACATCTTAATGTTAATATACCTGTACTTCCAAGTAAAACATTCTCCCTGTTTATGGTGAAATCTATACCAGTGACTGAAGAAAGGTGGATAAAAGAAATAACAGAAATAAAATATGTGTTTTGAGTAACATTCCCAATCTTACATCAAATATCGAAAGATTAACACGCTTTTAATTATTGAAATTTTGTATAAGGTTCACTTGATTGCATTAAAATATCATCCAAAAATATATTATTTTAATATAGTTGATAAAAACATAGTATAGAACATACAAGTATCAAACAAAATCAGTCTAATCGCAGTAATAACCCAAATATCCAATAGCAATGACTAAGGAATAGACCATTATAAAAATGTTGGTTGTAATTCGATAACACAACTACTTACCTTCAAAGACAGTTAAAACGATATAGAAAACAAAACATTTAAAAATGTCCGACATTTTGCCTACGATTTAAATAATCTCCTTTCCTCTCTTAATTAATTCAACTTTTAAATCCGAAATATAAAACATAGATTGATTTTGCTAACAGGAAGTAATGTAAGTGTACCATCTAAATAAGTTAAATAAGTATAAGCTATATATAGCGTATGTACAATCTATGTGATAATATATTTATCAGCACTAGTGCATGAAATCTAGTTTTAAAGTTTTATTAGTAGTTTGAAAGAAATCCATTTAGATTTAGATTTTTATTTGTCTTGTGAATGTGATAATCAAATTACTGACAAAAAATATTATTGCATTTTCATAACGTATCAATTGGTTATTTAAGTTAATTGTCCAAATGTAAAGTTTGTTAAATTATTAACATTTTCAACTAGCTGTTCAACAAGGTAGACATGAATATATCATAAACATGAAGTATCTCGGTCAAAGTAAAACCGGTTAACTTGAATAATTTCATTATTATGCTATTTCCAAATTTTCGATACATATAGAAATGTTAGTAATGCTTGCATAACAATGACATAATCATTTCTTAAATAGAAATTTTCTAATGAAATAAACTTAATTAAAAGCAAATTGATATTTATGTCTCTTCAACTTCAAAGTATGATTACAGTATTTATTTAGGAATCCCTATTACGTTTGACCATATATTTCTTAATAATGTGTAATATTGGCAGGATTATTTAATGAATCACATATGCAAAATTACATATAATAAAACAAACAGATAATGGATAGTATGAAATAAAAATATACTTATAAAAAAGCACCCCACGGTACACGTTTAAACGTATTCGTTTCGATTTTCATTCGTAAATGTTTATGATATTATTTTATCGTTTAAACGAAGTGATCAAAATAAAAAACGGTATCCTAATTATTACATGTAAGCATGCATTTTATCAATTCTAATTTATTTATTCCCAGTAAAAACAGAATAATGTAACTCTTCACGCAGCATCACTGTTCAATAATCGCTCGTTTGGTAAAAATGATTCTCCTTTTGATTTTCAAAACAGTGAAAAGGGCATACAGTGCAGAAAATTTGTGCCGACTCCCTCGCGCTGAGCCATGAACATGATTAATTTGTACTTGTATTAAAAATAGAAAGTAAGTTATCATTTTGTAACTTGCAATGCAGGGTTAAAGTATAATACATAGAAGTATCAACGGTTAAACGGTATCGTTCTGGTATTTAATAATCGTGTAAACGTTTGCAAAAATATAAATGTAGGAGCCTTACTTATAAACGTTATATCTGTCATTCAATGCAAACAGCTTTTATTCTCAACCATAACATTAATTGTCTGAAAGTTTGGGGGTCTGAAGCAAAATCTAAACTCCACATATATATATAGAACAATAGATTTTGCACTTTAAAATTTCATTACTCCAAAATGTAAATTATTTATATAGTTATAGGCATTTAAGATTTAAAAAAGTATTACATAAACAATTAACGCGCAATCAAAATGAAAATTGAAAAGAAAGTTTATAAATAAGAACGTTTTGAAAATAAATCTACGGATTTGTAGCACGTACATAAGAAAATACTAAAATCTAAAAAACACCGAAAATCCGAAAAAGATGTTTTATTAAAGATGTTACTTTTTGACATATTGTTCAATGGTATGATTTAACAATGGTTATTAATCTTGAAAAAGTGGGACACTGTAAGATGTGTTCCTTAATGAACTTGTCGTGTATCGGTAAGGGATTTCATTTTTAAACAACAACAACAACAACAACATATTCGCAGTCGGTAGGCAATTATATTTAAATACTTGATTAATATACACAAAATATATGAGAATTGATTGATATGGAAATATATATATAAAAATATTAAAATTTGAACACATCAATGAGCATACAATTTATTGGACACTTATAGACTGTTCTACCTGATAAATTCGGACTTTTGTGTCTATTTGTCGATATTTTCATTGGTATGAGTAAAATAACACGACTGTTTACGTTAAGAGTAGTCTCATTATTTTAATAAAAATATAATTCGTAAGTTCCAACGTAAAATTATCTCAGTAAGTTTTTTATGTAAATTAAAGTGTTCAGTAGAAAATGCAATGAAATCTAAACGCATTGTTAAATGGTTTGTGGGAGTTTAAACAAAACTAAACTATCTTAGCAATTTAACTGGAAAGTGTAAGAACTATACTGTACATTTGTTTCATTTGAACTACCCTTTACATGTTTTAGAATGGCAAAACTTATTTTTTATATTTTGCTTTAGAATTATTTTCATATTTGCTTATCCCACAGACTTACATTATGAGAAATGGTCCCTGATCCTACCTTAAAATTGAGATTTTGTGCTCAAGAGGTGATTCTTCTATGAGAATGAAATGCCTGACACATAAAAATGATCTTGTTATATAGGGTAATGACTTCAATGAGGTTCACCCCCTTTTTCTTAGAAATAAATTGCTGATATGCCTATCATACCCTTTTATCAATACAAATATGCAAGTCACACATTATCTTATAGACTTATGAAATATTTCATTTTCTTGAAAAATAATGTAATGTTAGTTTCTATTAGTTTCCATACTTTAAAGCTTACATCACATATCACATTGAATTTCACGGTTTCCCTACACTGTTTTCAGCCAATCACTGGCTATGGAGTAATCTGATAGGCTGATTTAAAAACTTTACTTTTGTATGGTAACAACTATCCTTTATTGAATGACATAAATGTGCCAGATCGTGCAAATGTAGACACTTATAGGAACAGATTTGGGAATCTGTTAGTTGACTTTTGTATTATAAACTCATTACTTATCGTGAATGGCAGACTTGGTGCAGATAAAGGAATAGGTGACTGAACACATGTTTTATCAAATGGTTGTAGTACTATCGATTATTTTATTGTTTCAAGAGCATTATTTGACAATGTAAAATATTTTAGAATTGATAATAATGGTTTATATGATCATTTGCCAATTATATTGTTTTTTGAAAACTGTATAAATAAATAATGCATATAATGAACAATGTAAGGAGTTTGTTTATAAATGTGACTTAAGTGGTCAAAATTCAGAATTGTATTTAAGTATTGTCACTGAAAATATATTAAATGGTCATTTTGATGCTGTAAGTGAATGCATAGAAACCACAGGTAATGTTGACACTGTACTGGAGATTTTTGAAAACATTTTACTCCAATCAAGTAGACCTTTTACAAAGCGTATGCTGACTAAAAATTATTTTAATAAAAGTAAATCTAAATGGTTTGACCATGAATGTTAACGTCTTAAACAATGTAAAAATAGAAAATTAAGACTGTTTAGAAATAGTAGAAAACAGGATGACCTTAAAGCTTATTTAGATGTTAAACAGGAATTTGTTAAAGTATGCAAAAGTAAACAAATCTCATATAATAGAAGTACATTAAAATCAATTGAGGATTCAATTCATAACCATAGAAATTTTTGGTCTAAAGTAAAGTGTCAAAACCGTAAGAATGTTAAACACTCAATAACAACAAATGTCTGGTTTGATCATTTTAAGTCTTTGTTTGCTACAGAAGTTAATTCAGTAGAAACTGATGTTAGGACAGATGTAATGCCAATTCAAGGATATATTCAGTTATCTATTTTTGACTCATTAATAACAGATGAAGAGGTATCAGATGCCATTAAATCCCTTAATGTAAATAAGGCTTGTTCTGGTAATCTAACCCCAAGACAGTTTACAACATGCTTAGAAATTCTTCTCCCTTATATAAGGAAATTCTTTAATTTTATGTTTACATCAGGTAATTTTCCATTAAAATGGACGCAGATTGAACTTGTCCCAATACATAAAAAAAGTCAAATTAACATACCTGATAACTATAGGGGTATAGCATTATTGGATGTTTTCAGTAAATTATATATTCACATTCTGAATAAACGTCTTACTTTTTATGTTAATGCATTTGATAGGATTTCTGAATCACAGGCAGGTTTTCGCTCTGGTTATTCCACAATTGACAATGCTTTTGTTTTGTTTGCATAAATAAATAGATATCTCTCTATGAAAGGAAGAAAATTATATGTAGTCTTTGTAGACTTCCGTAAAGCTTTCGACTCGGTTAAGAGATCACTTTTGTAAAAATCCTTGGTAAATATAGGTGTTATAGGTAGATTATTTCATGCCATACAAAGCATATATCATACAGTTAATGCAAAGGTCCGAAATGGTAACAATTTAAGTTCAAGTTTCGTGTGCCCAATAGGTTTACGTCAGGGGTGTAGTTTAAGCCCTATCTTATTTTCAATATTTATTAACCAGTTAGAAATGTTTCTCAAAGAAAAAGGTGTACGTGGTATCCAGTTAACTCCAGATATAGTTGAAATTATAATATTAATGTTTGCTGATGATATAGCCTTAATTGCAGATACAGTTCAGGGTCTACAAAGTAAACTTAATTTTTCTGCATGAATTTTGCAATATTTGGGGACTAAATGTCAATATTAATAAAACTCAAGTAATGGTGTTTAAAAATGGTGGAGCGATTGCAGGAGCTGAAAGATGGTTCTACAATGATTGCCCCCTTGCTGTCGTAGATGGTTTTAGTTATGTTGGATTATACTTTTCATGTAGGTTGTCGCTGCATAAAATGGCAGAGAGTACATCTGTTAAAGCAAAGCGAGTACTAATATCTCTATTAAAGTCATTATATCACCTGTTTCCTTGTTCTGGATCAATGTTTTTTAAATTATTTGATAGTAAGATAGCACCAATATTATTGTATGGGGCTGAAATTTGGGGACTTGAAAAACAGGATTCAGTTGAGCGGGTACATTTATACGCATGTAAGCGTTTTATGAATGCTCCAATCAAGGCATGTAATGCAGCAGTCCTTGGTGACTGTGGACGACATAGCATGTACTGTGTTACTGCCAAAAAGGCTGTAAAATATTGGTTCAGAATATTACTTATGCCAAATTATCGTTTTGTCAAAAAATCTTACCAGATGCTTGTATTATTTGATTCTAATGGATACAAAAACTGGGCTACGAAGATTAGATTACATCTATACCAACTGGGGTTTGGTTACGTTTGGGATGCCCAAGGTGTTGGTAATATTAATCTTTTTTT